GCGAGTACGCTAGGTCAACCCCCCGGCTTGCAGCGCCGATCGATATGTCTGCCTTCATCGAATGCTGGCAGTAGGTCACACTGGACGAACGCCAAAAACAGCCGACAAGGCAGGCGACGGTGCTTGTCTGATTAGAACGCTGGTCAATACTGAAAGCTTAGGTTGCGTGTATTCTACATCGCCTCAATAAAAAGTTGCGTCCACCCATCCGTCGTCTTCTCGCCCTTCGGATTTGGGAGCGTTCAAGTTGGCAATAAAAGGCGAACATGCGAGCCCCAGGAAGTCATTGATAAATAGAAGATGACTTAATCGCTGGAACAATACTTTTATTCGCCTGACGTTTCGATATCCGTCGCGGATTCGTCATCAGAGACAAGTCAGATAGCAGTAGATCTACTTGAACCACACATACTAAGTTCGTTCTGTCTGAAGTCAGTCAGGTATGAGGAACGATTTATTCGCTACACAGGGCAGATTGCTGTTGGTTTGTGTGGCGTCCGTTCGGAACCATATGAGCAGCGGTGTGATGTTTACGCGCTTGCTTTCATTCGTGTGAGCATTCGAGAGTAAGTGTTTGGGTTTTGGGCACGTGATTGGTTAGGCCAAAGGACGGAGTCTGGGGGCGCATAAGCACAAGGGCCCAGGCGCGACAGGGCAGGCTGGCCAAGGCGTGTAAGGTAGTGTTGTCCGCAAGTGCGACTAACTTGTGAGGTCAAGTTTGGAGGTTTCCCCAACTTCTAATCTTAAATCGATAAACAAGTCAGGATAGGACACCTTTTGGCTATCGGTCAAGTCGGGAGCAACAATGCACAGAGACACATTAAGATCAATAAAAGTCAGCAGGGCTAGAATGAGCATATAAGCATGCGGGAGTGAGTTTTGGACGCGTGATTGATTAGTTTAAAGGGTATTGTCTGCAAGTGCGACCGTGATTGAGCTGTGAGGTGAAGTCTGATTGGCTGTCATACTTTGGCGGAGCACCTGTTAATTAGCGAGCTTGTCGCGGCCGTTGGGACGCGGGAGTTGCTGCTACAGATTACTGAAATGCGATTGCAATATCGATTGCCATGTGGTATAACCCCATGATATTTCAGACACGACAGGCTGCCCGCTGTTTAATGCACTTCATTTCGGCCGTCCGCAAAAGCGGCACTCGTTAAAAAAAATGGTGTCGAAGTAGAAGTATACGTTTTCCAATTTACTTATATAGACCTTATAAATAAAAATACATACGTTACGAAAAAAAAACTTGCTCAAAAAAATCCCTTTTTAGACCCCAGAGCGACAATCCCGTCTCCTTTGCATTTCATACTCGAAGAAAGACTACCTTTTGGTTCTTAAAAAGTGTCTAATGATATTTTTAAAAGCGTGCAAAGTGCATCGGAACAGCATCTTTTCTGTCCTTTTATGAATGCTCCTCATTAAATATCCAACACGGTCCATATCCAATACAAAGTTTTACGAGCAGTAGAGGAATCAATATGCTCTTCTTCACAAGGAAGAGCATAAAGCTAGTAGACTGAAAACGATCAATACAGATCGCGGTCAAAAGTATTACGGAATTGGAAAACTCCTTAAGACCCAAAGTTACTATTCATTTGAGCCCAAGATTGGCTTCTTACCAAACAGGTACAAGAATAAAGATTATTCTCGTCTTCTATAAAACATATCGGAACTTATGAGGATAACTAAAATCAATGGAAACATGCTTACCAGAGTAGTAGTATGCTTCTTGAAGACTGCCGAAAAAAGTTCATTAAAAAGCCGGCACCCCGATGTGCCTGAAATATCACGAGACCATACCGCACGACGATCGATCTTACAGCCCCACTTAATTAATCCTCCCTATTCCGGAAACGCATTTCAGAATTTCGGTTAATATTTCACTGGCAGTAAGCAACACATAAGAAAGAAGCCCAGAAGAGCATATGGATCAGATGCACACACCTGAGTATTCCTTGGCTTCGTAGACACGCTTCTGAAAGGCCTCAAGGACAGGCGCTGCGTAGACTTTATCGCAGGCTCTGCAGACAAATACCTCCGCCGGATCGAGGCAAGCATGTGGCTTCAGGCTGGGCAGAAGGCGCAGATGCTTAGGTGGGAAGGCGACTAGACGACTGGGATTCTCGCCGAGGTACTCCGTTGCAGATCGAGGGCCCATCAGTCTCTCTTTGCCACAACATACGGGGATGCGCACTGCGAGGTCCTACAAGGCATTAGAAGAAAACCCATTCAGCACTGGGGTCAGGGAAGAGTCCAACCCCCCCACACACAAAGGACAGTTTCTAAAGCAGTCTTTCAAGCAGCTGCTCCTCGCTTTTGGAATGGACTCCAGTGAAGTTTAATGTTTGATTCCTGTTTACGGCTAGACGGTATTCGTGGGTAGGAGCTCCAGTTTATCTCGGTAAGAATAAAGGTGAAGATTAAAAAAATTGGGTTGGTTTAGAGAATAGCCGTTTCTCTGAAGAGGAAGGACTTACGGGAACGCAGGTAT